ATTAGTCCAGATTTGATTTTGTGCACATTACTAAAAAGTATGTCCCTACAAGGCTTCCATAGCACACATCTCTTTGTCGAATGACTATAGTTCTCCATAGACTGTATAAAGAAGTGGACTGAGAGAGTATGACGTCACCCATACTGTTCAGCTCCAGTCAATGAAGCTCATGTGGCTAGCTGTTACAGGGTTGAATTTGGAGCAGAGTTCCATAATAGGAATAGGATATTTTTACGGATAAAGTAGCGAAATAAAAACACCAGGTTCGTGTAGAGCAGGTTAATACACACATTTTAAGACCAAAATAGCAAGGCTCACAGCAGTAGTTAAAGAGAGAGGGGTGACAATTTTTCAATGTAAAGTCAATTGGAGCCAGAGCGGATGGAGCCAGAAGCGCCCCCTATCTGGAAGGTGATGGCTTGCAGGTTGGCTATGTCCATTTATATATACAGTCTGTGGTGTTACCAAGTATGTTTCTCCCAAAACTTAAACAACATGGCTTAAAGTGAGTATTTGCAGTTAAAACATGAGAGCAGTAGACTTATGTTTACAGAAACGCAACCTGGACGAGATGAAAGCTCCGACAAGCTGAGCGATGTCTTAACCTTGCCAGATTCTTCAGGCATGAGGGCACAAAGAAGATGGAAGTTTTTTTAAAAAAAAATCCATCCACCTCTGCAACTTTAAATGTAAAAGTGTCATGCTGTCTGCTTTCAAATAGTGATTCAGCTGAGGGGGTTGTGAAGTGGCTAGACTTTGTCCCATGGAGACGAGAGTGGAGAGGGGAGGGGTAAGGTGAGGCTATAGGGGAAGACAATAAAATGTTTGTATATGTGAGAGAGGGAATTGGGAGGAGAAGGAGGAGGAGGAGGAGGGAGGGAGAGAGAGAGAGAGAAAGGCCATTGTTGATGTTATGATGCCCCTGGGTGCGTGGAGGGCTGGTCTGAGTATGCGCTGGGCTGTGGGAGATTTACAGTCTGAAAAGGCTCGCTGACGGAGAAGAAGTTTGATTAAGTGACTAAGGGCTTCATGGTAAACACACACTAACAAGCAGGCTGCAATCAGCTAAAGAAGATCGCTAGACTGACTTTTGCTAAGTCCATTCAGTCCTTGTAATTTTCTTCATGTGCACCAGTGGTTCTCAAACTGTGGTACAGAGCCAATTGGTGTTTTTTGAGTAGAGTTTTATATTAGGTCTCTTATGAACACTGAAAAACTGAAACAACTTGCATTTGTTTTGACTAGATGAGTTTAAATTGCTTATATGGCATAGAATATTGGACAATTCCATGATTTCAAGGCAGATGTGATTGGTTATGATACTTAAAATAAGAAAATACATTTAAATATGGGGTGAGTTACATTTTCTTACCCTGTTGGCAAATAACATGTCAGAAACATTTTGAAAGCAAATTAATCTAGGTACATCAAGAAATTAGCTCCTAACTGGCCTAAATTTATTTAGATTTATCATTATTGCCTCGTGCTGAGCAATATGAACAAAAACTAAAATCCTGATTTCTTTGCACACCCTGAACAAATACATGCCATTATTTAAGAAATTGTAAACTACATTAAATTACATCTATATATACATATATCTAATTGTAATTGCGCAATAACACTGCTTTGCAAGTAAGAAAATCAGGAGTAAACTTGTTTCGTAATAATCCTCTTGCAATTTTTTTTCACACTCTCAATTAATTAAAAACCCAGATTAATCAAACTGATTCAATTAAATGTCCAGCCCTATTTAAACCATTAAACAGAACAGTCTGGATTTATGTCTATTTAACACGTTTTAAACTTGGTCTAGTCCTGAGTTGGTACACTCCAGTGGTCAAAACAACTTCAAGTAACAAGGGTTTTTCCGTAAATCGTAACTTTTGGCTAGTTTTCCTGTCAGTTGACTTGACACATTAAAATCACCCATATGGAGAGAATGGCTGACTCTGTTAATCTGTCTCTAAATGCTGAACCAGTAAATAACCCACTATTGTCTGGGATATACCCTGCTTCAGGCCAAAAGTGGAGATTAGGCACTGCTAGCACCTTGTTATTTCAGAAGCTGAACACAAGCATCCATTGATTAGCACCCACTTATTCTCAATATACATAATCGGGTGTGACAAAAGCCTAAGGTTGCTGCTTTGGATTTAAGCATAAGATAAGATGACAAAGAACTTTATTAATGAGTTGGGGACTGGCTATGGGTTGCCTAGGTAATTGCTGGGCCCCATTGATTCACATGATTCTGCTGCTTGGCTTCTTGCGCCTGGGGATGTCCCATTAAATTGTTTTAAGTAGTGAGGATAATTATATTGATTATAGAGTTTTTGTAGGCAAATGTGTTTACTCAACATTTTAACTCTTGGAAATGGAAGAGCACTGTGAACTCCAACCATTCATACAATTTAAATGAGCCGATTTTTGTCAAACATGCAAACTAGTGCATTTGAAATTGTTTGCAGGAGTTATTCCACACTCTGCAAATGCATTCCTAGCATTTTAATTATATACCACAATGCCGCCAGTGCGCAGAGATTTGCCATCATAATAATAGTAACAACAACTAGCAAGCTAACAGCACATCAGCCATAATAAAAAGTCTAATTGTGACCCTAAGAGCTGCTTTGGCATATATCTGTACCAGGGCAAGACAAATTTTCCTTTAGAAGCACAAATCAGGAATAGTCCTTTTAACTAAATGCTTTGAGAATAGTCAAAGGAATGCAACAAACTGCTGATTCACTTCATTTCAAAGCTAAAGCACGCTTAGGTAATGTCTTAAATGGAAACCTGAGCTTGGATATGCTACCTCCCTGTAGCCTGTAGCTTTTACCCACCGGTGAGCCCTGACAATGCTGTATGAGTCGACATTTTCCCCGTGAGCTTGTCCAGACACAAAGCTGTCTAAGCACTGATGTTCCAATAGCGGGAGATAGGAGCAGACCACGTGGGAGCCAGGCTGCTTTTAACGCTGATTAGCTAACCCCCCCCTCCCTAACCTGCTCCCCTCCCTCCCCCGACACCACCGGCCCGCAGATGTGGACGGGGTGAGTGATGGACACCGGACACAGTTTCCCGGCAACCATTATCGACTGTGCTGGGATCAATGGCCAGACATCTTGTGATGGGCGATTATGCGTTAGCTTCTCATCCTTTCACTGTACTTCGCTGTCTGTTAGTTAGGTGTCTTAGCTGTAAGGCGGCCCTGTCCTGTCTTCACCCGCGAGACTGGAATACATTAAAAAACATAGGCTATGTCTGGAGTCACTTTCGAGGTATCTCAATTACTATCTAGTAAAACTGAAGTTGTACTGTGAGAAATACTGGACAGTGTTGCCATGATACAAATATCAATTTTCAATTTCAATACTAAGGACTAGACTCGATACTCAATACAGATTACGACACCACAATGAAAAAGCAGATTGTGATTTTCAACATTAAAAATAGTACTTTTATATTACCATATGGTCTTATTGGAGCATTATTATTGGAATGGGAGCATTATCAAATGGCAAAGACTGCAGTTTTTTAGATGTTTAAATGTTCTCTGCGAAGAACAAAATATCTTGTCTCTTTGTACTAAAACATGCTGTACCTGTAGTTTTAGTCCTCTACAAACATGGGACTCTTGAATTAGTATTTTAATTCATATTTTAGTCTCTCAAATGAACGTCATTGCTTCTGAGATCGTTTACAATGTCAGGGGCAGAAAAAAAATCACTATAAAAGAATTTTGTTTCAAAATTGTGCAGCCCTACTATGAACAGGAAGCCATTTAACCTCCACCAAGCGATGTGTCCTATCTTGCAACCTAATTTATCTGGGTGCCTGTTAGAGAGACAAATATATGGATAAAGTTGCCACAAAACTAGTCGAGCCAGTTTCATTTAAACATTAGACCAATTCCAAAGCATTATGTACTATTCTTTGGTTCATTGTTCACTCTACCCAGATAGAGTGTGGGAAACTTTTAGTGCACTACTTTTCAGTCACTACATATTCAAACATCACTTCAAAATCACCTTAATCAGTAACACAACTATAGTAATTAGTAAGTAGTTTCAAACCCAGCCTACGGACTAAAGAAGTGGCCAGACACATGGAGTTTTGGAAAAGAATTTGAACTGCAACTCAACCCCTACGTAGGAAGTGCAAAACGTGTAACACAGTAAGCGTGGTTTATAAAGGAGGGCCGTCACCTACTGTAAGCTAAAGTTTCCTATTTGGCCCGTGCTGCCGCTAAGCTAACAACAGAATCTGGGTCACATGGGCTGCAGCCAGTTCCAGCTCGGGCCATCAAAGCCTGCTGGTTCCCTTAGTTTCCCACCCCTCCTTATTCCTCAGAACTGCACACTGCCAGTCCTGGGACGGAGGGGTCAGCCTTCCTCTACCCTTCGCCCCCCTCGCTCTCCCCCTTCGCGCTCCCTTTGCTGTCGTCCGAGCTTCAGGAAATACAACTTCTCCTCACATCCCCCCGCTGTCCACATGTGTGTGTAACGCGAGCTGGCCGGATTGACCTCCTCCGGCCAGACTGGCAGCCCGCATTGTTTATACTAGAGCAAATAGAACTCTAGCTGGCACTGATATCCTATTGACCGCTTTGAAATTTGACAAATCTGCATATTAAGCCAAATAGATGAAGTGAAGCTAAATAAACTACATATTTTAAATCTACTTTTTCATAAGATTTCCATAAATAAATGCCATTCTAATGTGCAATGTCTAAAAACACTCTAAAAGCCAAAACTATTTTGGGGGCACAATGTCAAATTATCAGCAATACTGTGAATCTTGCATTTGAAAAATCTAATTCTAAAAAAAAAAATTCTGATTAAAATGCAAAAAAAAAAAAAGCATATAATGGTATTTCTGTGCATAATTTGATACTGATACTTAAAACTCAACAAACACAAACAAAGGCATTTTCGTTTGATTGTGTAACTAACTTCTAACCATGATTATTGGTAAAAAAAAAAAAAAAAGTCCCTGATATAAACCAAACGGGTTAATACCTAATCAGCAATTCTCAAACTGTATAATTCGACACTGTAAGTTATAATTTTATACAAACTTTGCATTCTAAGTCATGTTCTGTCAAGCTGTTGCAATAAGTGGTTTAACCCAATGCGAAAAACTAAAGTCACACTCACAAGACTCTATACCAAATGATTGCAATATGCACAATAGTGGTCATACATTTCACTCTGCAATAAAAGCCCTGTCAATGCCAGCACTATAGTTGACTCAGTAGTGAAGAGTTGTGGACACTATGCAACTGTCTGTTAATCATGTGGTAATGGTGCGTATGGAAACTTATGTCTACAAAAAGAGCTCATTGTCACTCGAGCCCTGCAGCCATCAGCAAAGCCATTATATGTATATAAACTATGTGACCACAATGTACTATGGGAAATATAGTCCACAATGCATTCAGAAACAACTATAAAACCTATGTAGACAATAGCGCAGGATAAGGAGTGGTTTTGTTCAGTGTTTATAGTTTCACGTAAGTGATTAGGTTTGCCAAAAGGTCAATACTAATTGAATGCTACTTGTATGAATATTGAAATTAAAAAAGTAACATAGATAAAAATGTATAGGATGAAATTAGACCTTTCCTTTTAGAGTGAGCCCAATCTATTTCTTAAACACTTGGCAATATTAACCCCTTAATGCCGACTGTCACAAATATGCAACAAACCATTTCGATCAAGATATAAGCCGAGATAGCGGCTGCATTTCCTCAACGCCAGTTAGTGCATATGCAGTACCTTCCCAGGAACCTTTGGAAAGCACTTGTTTCTACTTGTCGGAAATTTGCAACATATCTAAATTTCTGTTTGTTTTTTGTTTTTGTTTTTTGCTATAGTCAAATTAACAATCTCAACTTAATTTACTATCTACTTAAAGGCAAAAACACACTCAAAACATTTTTTTATATTCATCTATATCAATTCAGGTGTCAAGGGGTTCATGAGACTACTATTTTGTTTCGAAAAATACATTCTATTGTCTAAAAATATTTCTTTTATATCATTGCGGTATTGAAAATGGTAATGAGCCTCTTGGTTTAACAAATCCACAATGCTCAAATCATCTGGATCATGCTTCCTTTATCCCAAAATACAACTTTAAATATGTCTTTGATTTTTCCAAAACCCAAGTCTACACTTCTGTGCCTTCCTTCTTTAATGAAACTGGGACTGACTTGTGATGCCTACAAACAGTGGCTAATCTCCTACCAGGCTAATAGAAACATAGCACACTCCCTTTCATCCCTTCCTCCGGCCTGTAAGATAAAAAGAAACAGGGAGTTTTTAGTTCCTCTGAGTTCAAGGTTTGCTTTGGGGGGTCGTGGGGGTTAACAGCATTGGTGCACACCTGCTGTTTTTTAATGAAGCGGATTAGCTTTAGCCCACACTGGTTTAGCCCCACGAGGACATCAGACAGCTACAGGTCACACATGAGGTCACTGAAAATGCCCTTTTAAAAACATGAGCAGTAAAAAATCCATTACTAGCTACACGCTACATTAGCCTCTACGTGCATGTGTGATGGCATCCTCTCCTGAACCTAGCTTTGTTTTACACTAGTAATAGATGAATGGAATTTCACAGTGAGCAGGCTTCTTAAATGAACTATTAGCCTAAACTCTGCAAAGGAAAAAAGGTCTAAATGTTGACATGAAGGAAGTATGCTAAGAATTAGCCGGTTAATGGGACAAGTCCTTGTAATATTGGTTTACTTTAACCCTGAAAGAGCTTGGAAATGGCTTGCCTATTAAGGGAAGGAAAGGCAACTGGCTGTTGACGTTTTTACAGCTAGTAATGGGAAGTAACTACATGCATGAACCTAGTAGAATTTACAAGTGCCTTTTTAGTCTACTTTTGTAATAGCAATTTGCTTGGCCAGCCAAACCAAATACCTCCTGCCAAGTAAAACTGCAAGACAATTTTAACTTATCTTTTTATGCTACATTAGAAAGGCTATGGCACATGCTGTATTTCTAATTACTCTATATGAACTTATTTAATTATAAGCAACAACGGATTCTGCACATTACATTACCCATAAGTTTCTTTAGAAAGTCAAGTTTTTCTTGTCTGAATTTACTGGGAAAATTACCATAAAGATGGAAGTAATCTTTGTTAGAAATGGCAAGAAAATTCAACATTTCTTAAGCACCCTAGGGGATCAAAAATGTACCCAATTTGTAGAGATAGGAAAGAGAAAATAGGAATGTGGTTTACAATATGATAAGAGGTGTGATCATCGCTCAGCTTCTCGAATTTCCTCATTTTCTGCAAGGGTAATATTATAAGCCTCTGTTGAGATCGGAGAATGCATGTGGTGCAGAGATGGAGGGCGAGTTACAGTCTTTCTAGTTGAGAAAATCATTAAAAAAGTCAAATAAAATAACAAAGACCACGCAAAACAAAGGAATAAAAAAAAAAAAAAAACATGTGCAAACGTCTCTCATATAAATAGACTACAGTGTCCGTGTTGTAGCACCATGAAAAATGAGAGGGTGTGTTTGAAATTGGTATTTGCATGGATCAGCTACCACGTTTATGAAATGTTGAGCCACTGAACAGAAATTGGTGTGGACCACTGGGAGGAAGTTTGATTAGACAAGCGTATGGGGTGGGCATCTGTATTCATTTCAAGGGAAAGCTTTGAATATGTGGTTGTATTTGAGCTAGTTCTAGAGAATCATTATAGGTAATCTGTTTGAAAAAAAATATATATCATAATTTTGGGTGAGATTTATATTGGATTTATGTGATTTGCATATTTTCTTTCATTTTAGAAGGGGTCTGAAGTGTCACCCATTACAGATTAAAAAAAAAAACTTTATTATATTTGAGTCAACAACAACATAATTATGTTATTAGGTTATTTTTTCAGACCAAGAGTTTGTTTTCATACCTGACAGTTTCAACTGCTCACTAGTGGTCTTCCTCAGAGTGGTCACTGTCAGGTATGAAAACAATCTCTTGGTTTGAAAAAAGAACCTAATAACATAAAATATCAGAAGACCAAATTAACCTCATTGGACTAAGTACATAAGTAATTATCATGTAAACAAAAGAAATTTGTATGGGTAGTTGGGCCAACATAGAAGTGCTAGCAAAAATATTTGAAAAAAAAAAAAAAAGAAAAGTTGACTGAAAAATGACTTGGTTTTTGTGGGTGACATCTTCACCTGTCTGTTTACCTATCAAGATGCTAATGCCAAATTAACGTAGCTCATAAAACCACATATACAAAAGACTGCACCCTTTCTTAGTCCACCGCCCACTGGGTCCAGAGGTCAGACCCAATCCTGTAGTGAGCGCTTGCAGTGAACCAGCAGACGCGGCGCTCCTTTGCTCTGTAGCGTGTTGATGATCGCATAGATGAGTCCCAGGATACACAACACCAGCACCAAGGGTATAGTCACCATTAGGATATTCATGGTCCGCTGTTCACTGTCATCCACCTTCAAAACCACATCGACTTCATTGGTCTCCTCTTCTCTACCCTCTCTCTCCTCCTCCTCTCTATCTTTCCCTCTCCCCGTTTCCTTCTCTTTGTCCGTTCGGTCCTTGCCCTTGTCTCCGTCTCGTCCCGCGTCGGGGTTGAAGGGTGGCCGGTTCACGTCGGGGTATTTGCGCTCTGTATCCGTGTCAGTGGTTCTGTCTGGATCTAGGTCCACGCTGCAGCCCATAAAGTCCCGCAGGATGGACTTGGGGAAGCCGGGTTCGCTCTTCATGCGGTGGTTGTCGAACTTCCAGTACTTAGAGCCCTTGTAGAAGTAAGTGTAGGCTGCAAAAGGAAGAAGTAAAACATTAGGAGATTAGAAGAAAGTGTATTGTACATAAAATTCCTTACTGAAACAAAATTCGAGTCCACATTAGCATTTTAATTTCTGGAAAAATTCATGTTCCTCTTACATTTATAACATACTTTTGTCCTGGGGGTTGTTACTCGCCTCAAACTGCCCTGAAACAGGACCTGCTGCCCAGAGCTACTGTTAAACAGAACAGTTATAAATTCTTAAAATTTGAAAATAGATATCTTTTGTCTTCTTAGATAAAAATACATTAAAGGGCACCTATTATGTAAAATTGAGATTTATTTTAACTATGCTGGTGCTCCTTCTTTGTTATCTTATTTAGTGTTGTATTTTGATTGATTCCTGCATGTTTTCTGTAATCTTGTACTGTCCTGAATTCAAGGCTGTTTTCACTTACCCCCTATCTCCGGCTACTACTCTGTGCGTATTATAACTTCCAATTATTTAAGAAATTCTGGACACAATAAAGCCAGGACAAAATAAAGCAAAAAAGAAAGCGAAGAGAAATGAAGCACTGTTCAGTGGGTTAAATCCACAAACCATTATACTCAAAATCCTTTATCTGTCTACCTCAAAACTTTATTAAGTCATTCAAGACTCACAATGCAATTTGACTCTCCCCGCAATCAATATTTCAGCTGCGCAAACAGTTGACAAAATAGCTCTGCGCTTTCTGTTTTGTCTCATCAGCTCACATTTCCCTCATTATTGTGACAAACCTCAATATAATTTCAAACCTGTTTAGACTCCCACAGCTACAGTATAAGAAAGTCTGATATCTAACAAAAACTCTCTGACTGGAAATCAAAACAAAACTGCTCCTCTGTTTTACATCGCTCCTCAAGCTCATATCCATCCCCATTCCCTTGATGAGTGAACAGCCACACCCGCATCCTTTGTTTTACGGCCCTATCTGCCAGCCCCAGCCCCCTCCTTCTCGCTTGATAACTCCCTATCCATAAAAGTGAAACTCGCAGCTCACCTCCATCATCGCTGAGGAAGGCACCCTTGGGAGACTGGGGCACCGAAGAGCCCCACACGCTGATGGGTTTTGGGTAGCCGCTGTCAGCTGATCGGCTCTGCTCGTTGAAACGCCAGTACCTGTGGACAGAAGCGGCGGAGATGGTTGTTACAGTTTATTAGCTGTCTGAAACTCGCGAAATCATTTCTCATGCAGTCTACGTACAGCTGATCTGTTTCTCCACTGAACTATAAAAAGCATGAATTCTAGTCCTTTCTTTTCTGTCTGTTTATTCATATATTTATGTCAACTCAGATTCGCAGAAGTGTAAATATTGTTTAATGAGATTTGTTCAAAGCACGGCACAGGGCATATTGCGTTCTCAAGATATATTTTATAGTCTAATATAAATTGGCTTATGAATTACTCAAAAACTTCCAGTGCCTGTTGTTCAAGTCTATAATATTCAAGCAATTGGCTCATGTAGACCCACTCTAACTATAAATTACGAAGTGAGTGACCTTTTCTGCTTCCATTGTATTTGAAAATAACTTTTATGTATTCTGCTATATTTTCCCAAAATGTTAAATAGGCAGTATTTTACTGAGGTATTAACGGCTAACACATAACTTATATATCACCATGTTACCCTTTTATTGTTTTGAACATACTATAGTCGCTGAAAACAATGTATTAACATATTTTTTCTTTAGTCTCCCCTCCCTTTGCTCTCCATGCTAAGTCACTCCCCTTTACCACTATCACAACACAATCAGGGTATATCCCGCTGGATCAAGATTGTCAAATTGCTGTGTACAGTTTGTATCATGCTTTTGTATACCTATAGAGAGAGAGAGATCACAAGAATGGAAGACATCTAAAACCTCTTCAGGCATGTTTATGATGAGGGATCAACATTCTAACATTGTAGAATTTAAAGAAAATCCATTTTGCATAATTCACCCTGTTTAAGATCATAGATATAGTGCTAAATGTCTTTTTTTACTATTTATTTACACTTTTTCTCAATCGCGCGGTGTAAGCGGATATAACCATGCCTGTAAGATTTTATTGTTAATTAGCCAACAAAAGTGAATGCCTCCAACAAGACTTTCTATCAGTAAAGCTTTTGGTAAGACACAACATCCCACAAATCCCATAAAAAGTATTAAAATTCCTGGCAATAAAACATAGCTTATCAGGGCCGTCAGCAGACTTTGTTGGGGCCTGGGATTAGATGCCTCAAATGGGCCTGTTTAAAAAATATCTATATGAAAGAGAGGTCCGTTATAATGTTGCTTCCTCAAAAAGATGACATACATTGATTCTTTAGGTCACAAATCGGTAAATAGGTAAATAGGTACTCTTGTTCTTACAAAATAAATATGTTAGCGTTAGTATTAACACTGTTGGGCAAGTTACTTTAAAACTGTAATGCATTATTTATTACTTATTACTGTCATTTCAAAGTAATTTGTTACATTACAATATTACTGGATTTAAAATGTAAGGCATTACATTACTATTGCATTACTTTTTAAGTTACTCTCCAAAATAACTGTGAAGATGCTGAACTTTTGCGCTGTATATGGACTGAACCAAGACTGAACCAGGACTAAACCAGAGCTGAACCACGACTAAACTACGTCTAAACCAGGACTGAACCAGGTCTAACCCAGAACTGACCCAGGTCTACACCAGGTCTAAACAGCGTGGAGTTCTGTGTCAGTCCTTTCACCCGTGGTTACGGTCTATGTGGCCGCGTCTCCGGCATTTCACCGCTGCTGATATCGCAGTGATTTTAGCGAATTTGTATGAAGAAAAACCCACCACTTCAATCCAGGTTAAAAAAGGATTGTAACGCGCGTTACTGACATTTGTACTGAGTAAAATATTAAAATTTTTTCCCTGTAATGCCTTACATTACTGCGTTACAGCAAAAAGCAATGCATTACAGTAATTGAATTACTTTTATAATGCATTACTCTCAATACTGAGTACTAATATGTTTCAAAATGGGTTAAAAAGCTTAAATTGTGTTTAGTATAAGACCTTTAGATACAAATACTGCTATGTTATTTTTACCTGTCTCCTTGGAAGAAGTAGGTGTAGCCCGATGGCTCCCACCAGATAGCTGCATCGATTCTGTCGTATGGAATGTCGGACCCATAGTGGACCAGTTCTTGTGGATAGCCTGGCTCCAGATTGGCCTCCCTGAAAACCCAGTATCTATTCCCTGCAAAGACATAACAATATTGGTTGCAACTCTTAGACATCCCTTCCTACTGTTGTTCATTCTCCCTAAGTACTATTGAGAATGCTAGCAACACGACCCTTACACGCCCAAATCCATACAGTATCCTTTATGGACTACAAAATGGGGCTATAAACAATAACAGACACTTATATTTTTGCTGGCATGAAATAAAACAAATTATAACGGGGGAATGAACAATAATCAGAACAATCAGAGAAAACCCGAGCAGCCTTTACACACACTTGTAAATTACACACCAGTGCAATAATGATTTGTTGGCCGGCAATAAAGAAAGCCTGTAGAAATGAACACGGCTTCATTGCTTGTGGACTTGGCGGTTTGGTAATGAGCTATTAGCAGCAGCTTGTGTTATGTCAGACGCAAGCAAAATTCCTAAAAAGTTTTATTGTTTTGCGAATATGCTTTTTCTGGTACAATTACATCTTGGTTCTTGGCGTAGATCCACCTAACCCACCCATTTATCTGTCCGCCCACCCCCTCTACGCCTGAGCTCCGAGTTTAAAATGAAAACCCCGCACTCGGCATCTGGAGAGGGCAGGGGTCTTGACGCAACGCTTCCCAGGGATCCCGCTGTGCTGCGCTCCCTATGTTCAAAATCCCCATGACTACTTCCATGACTTTCCAACTCGATGTGCAAGTTTCTGTGACCTCAAAGTTTGATTCTTTCCTGCTGGGAAAATGTATGTTTTTTGTTATTGTAGCTTAGGACTGATATAAATATAAATGCTAGCAGCTGTGCAGGTTAGATGGATAATGAATTCCCACTTTGTTATCTGTAAGGCATTGTTACAAATATATGATCAGCCTATGGATTTCGGGACTTGAAGATGAGCAGAAGGAAACTACAGTACATTTAGAGACACTACTCCATCCAATTTTCAGTTTTTGTTTGCTAATTTAAAAGCATTATAATGTATTTTTGTATTTTACAAACAAACAAGCAACAATGCAGTGACTTGCTGTTTGATGACAAATGTGATGTGAGGAATGTCAGGTATTGTATGCTTCCCTAAGAATAGAGCGATAGAGAATGTACTTCAGAAATGCACTTCTAGACCTACTAGGTAGCTTTAAAAAGTAAATTTGAATACAGTCACACTTGTTTAATTATATTGTTTCTAGAAGTATTTGCACTTCATGACTGATGGGAAATTAAACCACTAAAGGAGTGTGTAAACTTCTTGTTGACAATCTTTGGATCATATAATAACCATAATCTCAGTAATGACATAAATGAGATTCAAATATTACCAAAAAGTTACCTAAACACAAAGAAATGCAGAAATATCACCTTATATACCAATGTTTGTAAAATTAGACTGTTCTTTTTATAACTCAAGAGGTTTAGAGAACAAACAGGATTAAACATTGAATTTTGCCTTCCAACAAAACAACAATTCTGAAGCTTACAAATGATGAGCTTACAAAATGAAACTCATACATTCACTCTGACAATCATTCACTAAAGTTTAGATTTTATGCATATTAGGGCTGAATGATTTGGGAAAGAATATCAAATTGCAATCTTTCTCACAATTGTGATTAGATTTTGCAATTTAGGTTTAAATAATAAGATTTTGTTCAAAGTTCACATTTTAAACGTCTAAAAGAATAGATAAAAAAGACTGAAATATGAACAACCAAACAAATACAACACACACACATTTCAGGTAATGTTTGGCCAGATCTTAGGAGCCTTTATGTAGACTAAGAATATTTCATTGTTTTTAAAGGGTACTTTAAAAATTGCAGTAGATTGCACCCATTCTAATTGTCTTTTTTTTTTTTTTTTGATTCAGTTGCAATTAATCTTGCAGCTCTAATGCTTATTACACTATGAAGCTCATGTCATTACGTGTAGCTAGAATCACTAACTATCTTGTCATTTACTAATGCTAATATTGACTACATTAAATACAAAATGTCAGCAATCATGAGGCTAAACACGTAGTGGTCTGCCTCTTGTACTCTCCTAACCATGGCACTACGGTAGTTTCTCTCTCTCACTTCTTCCTCTCTTTCTTCCCTAATGGCATTCGGCCAAGTGTCGCACTGAGGCTTAGAGATGACATCATCCCACCCATCATCTCCAGCTGCCCAGAGCCTGGAGCCTCGGCCCGGACTGCATCAAAGGCTGAGTGCGTTCTTTTTCATTCAACAGCAACAACTTCATCCAGCGCTGTAAAAGACAAGCTGCTCTCACTGACAGAGTATAAATAATGAGTCGCACTAAAATAGATTTACATTTGGCGCGTAGAATACATTATGTGGCCCTACTTTCTTTAAGAGGTGGGGGCGTATGGATATCTGAAATTATCTGGGAGATACGAAAACGCTCTTACGTTTGAAATAGAACAATATAACTTCAAGGAAAAGCCCAGATGGTGGATGGTTTGCAAAGGCTGCTTAAGCCTAAACTGCTCTATCAAACTATCTGGTCATAAAGATGAAGGGGAGAGCATATTTTACCTTAAACAGCAGGCAGTGTTCACATGTGGACACTGGCTTTCTATACATGTCCTATCATCCACAGCTCCAAATCCAACTACGGCTATGTACTGGCAGAGTAGAGTAAATAGTGAGGATTCCCTGGAAGGAAACTCTAAACACTGGCCTTCTTTGTCAAATCTGGTGTGTCAGCAAAGAGCAAAGCATTTCTATGTTGTCTGGTATGCAGAAGATAGTTGATGCGCATTAACAGATTGCATACTTAAAATTTGATAGACTACATACAATGCAGAAATAAAGTGTTTCAGACTAAATTTCTTTTAAATCTGCAGCTTGTTTTGTAACTGGAAGTCAAGATGATGTTACCTTTTAACCTGGAAAAAGCATTGTTGGCAAATTTTATAATGCCTCCATTAGCAACAATATGCAACACAAAGCTTTTGTGCTTTCCAAACTAAACAGTGTCTCATAGACCCACAGCACAGCAAGACAATTAACAACAAATAATACACTGAACGAATAGTAGTAATGTCAGTTTACCTTTGAAGAAGACAAACTTCCCATCGTGTCTCTCATAAGCAGCATCTATATCTCCAGGTAGACCCCTCCAGAAGTGACCGATGGGCATGGGGTAGTTATCCAGCACCCTGTTTCTGCGGACCCGCCAGAACCACCGGCCCTGACAAGACAATGGAGAACCAAGGAAGTAAATTATTTTCCTCTAAATTATATTCTATAAGATCATTAAATATTTCTAACATACATTCCCAAGCACTGCTGCCTGAGACCATCTTAATGTTTTCAATTGCTTCTGCATTAGGGCTGCACAATGTATACTTTGTCTTTATTGTATAATCAACAAAAGCAATATCCATACTCCAAGAATCTATGTAAATATACTTAGATAACACTAAATGTCATCTAAGTATTTTCGGCAATAAAACAGCTGTCTTTGCAAGATAGATAAGTTAAATCCTATACTCTGGTAGATTCCATGCAAACCATGAAACATCTCTCTGCATTCAAGCCCCACCAGAAAAAATACTGTTTATCCAGACTCTCTTCTTAGATAGATGATAGATACTTTATTGTCATTCAATACACATAAAAAATATATTAATAAAGTAAAAAAAATAAATAAATAAATCAGTTCCATTCCATTTTATCACAACTATCAACTTATCCCAATACCACTATAATGCTATAATCCCTAAATCTCTCCAAAAGTCTAAAACGCACATTACCACAAGGGCAACGAGAGGCACATCAGCAAAGCACAGTGGTTGTTCTTGCATTTGAGCCAGTGGACAGATTTACACCGCGCCCATTCAGAAGCGGTGAGTCAGTGGCCCGTCTTGTCCTGGATAATGTAACGGTAAAACGCTGCTTCTCTTCTGGCACGCTTGGAGAGTTTCGTCCTTCACTCCGGACAAACTGGCAGTCTGTCAGCACGGCACAGAATGGAACAGAACTCATCCGGCTATGGGAATGGCTCTACACAAGCATTTCGATTTGTGTGGTCTGACAGCCCCCCTTCTCACAGCAAGCAGATTGAGGCTGAATTGACCATATTAGTTGTCTGGAGAACTCATCTCACAGTTTGAGAATGAAGACAGCACTGCATGCGTTCTTCAGTGAAATCCAACGACATATTTCAAGTAATTTTCTCCTCCTAACCCTTTCTATGAAGTGGTGCTGTTGGCACTTCAAATCCCGGCCAGCACGCAGCAGAGGGTGGGGATTTACTTCCAAATTAACAAGTGATTTATCCGCACATGAATAAAGAAGTCAGCCAAGATTCCAATAACTACCAACCTATTCAAAGTCTTTCTTCGCTGATGACAAGTTCGCATTAAACAGACCATTGCACATGCTGGAGCTTCATTTGATTTCTAAAGCCAGTTAATGACATTTGAAAGAACTTGCGCATGAAGGCCGTAATGTAATTTTAGTGATATGATAAATGCTTTCCAGACCTTGTTCGGGCCTGAAGGGAAAAACCCCAGAATAGAGATGTTAGGGGTGGACGTGAAATCTAAGAGGGCAAATATAATTCTCTGGCCATGTGCACGTCCGGACAGCTGGACATCTCTGCTACTGATCACAGTCAGGCACACTTATTGCAGTCACTATTTACAGACCAAGTGGGTGTGTCCATCTCAGGCTTTTGATACAGCAATGTTTGAAATTCCGCTGTGCTATGCTTGAGTAAGTTGTATCCATCATCCTCATCAACGGAAGTTTCTACAGGGTGTCATTTTAGTACAAAGAATAGTGTTTTATTAGTTTGAATTTCAAGAACACATAAAAAATACTACTCAGAGTGAAGTTTTACAGAATTTTGAAACATCTTTTATCATCAAACTGATTAATTAAAAGCTTAAATTGTTTTAAATTGCAATCCACATATTCTCTGAGCTCTGGCGAATCAGAGCAGGCGATGCAGAGCTTGTTATGTATGTTTGTGGATACAGAAAGAACAACCGTGCATTTGTGAAAATTGACATTTGTGCTGTACTCAGTAACTCCAATGATTATGAATGTAGCTAATTACAGTTATATGGCTTGAATTACACTCAATTACAAGTTCAAATACAGGATTAAAAATCTACTAAAAAGTACAATTACCTAAAAAATCTATAAAAATACTTCAATATCTTTTTTTTGTATTACTTTATTGGTAGTTTACTTTATGAGATTTTTTGACTGCATGTTTCATTATACAGTACAGTAATACACATGAAATGGCGGCAAAGAGTGGGAAGAGACATTCGGCAAAATGTTAGAGCCGGAAATCGATGTCACGACACTGAGGCTGGTAAGTACTGCGATCAAAACTCTTGGCCACAGTTACGTACTTACTAGTAATTTTAAAATGATTTATGAAACTTCCCTTGTGGATAAAGTAAGTTTATCCAAGTCTAACATCTAATCCCAGTAGCAGAGCTGCAGTGCACTCCCTACAGTTGAAATGGGACCGTGTAAGGATATCATGATAACATTGGAGAAGCGCAGCTAATGCCTAATGGTTCTTTCGCATGTTCCCTGTCTCATATCTGCAAGCCTCTCCAGAGCAAAGCAGAGCCAGAGTCAAACGCCTCCTTTTGACCTATCCCCACTCTAACACTCACCTAGCAGTATCGCCCATCCCTTATGTACATAGAAACTAGAATGAAACATTACTGGATTCCAAGTTTTAGCAAGGCCAGTCTAAGTTCTATCATATGGTTTTATGTGATTGACCCTGTTCTCTTGTTTAGCATAAAAACATATACCGGTATATATTATAGAAGGCAGAATACAAAGCACTCTTTCCCAGTATCTGTGGACTTAAAACAAGCAAGAGCCGTAAGCAGCTTGATTTGGAAATTAATGCATGTGAAGATTAACAATAAGCCAAAGGGTTTGTGAGAGCTAGAAACTAGTTAGAAGTTCCTCCTTTTGTGGTTTAAAAAAAGGCTAATACGGCTTTAAAGAGATTGTGATAAAAACACGGGGAATGATAGCCAATTTGCAATATACATTCCTATTGAGATATGGATGATTTATAGATCCAATAGTTATGTAAGAGAGGTTTTATGGATTCTTTGATTTGATTTTCACATTTAATTAATGAAGTCCATGTAGTAGGGCTGAACGATTTAGGAAAAAATATCTAACTACATTTTTTTCTGACAAGCATCGTGATTAGTTTTGCGATTTATGTTTTGATAATAGGATGCTGTTCAAAGATCATATTTTGAAGGCATTCAGAGGAATCGACAAAAAGACTGAAATATGAACTGAAAAAATAATACAAGAATCACAATTCAGACTTTGTTGTTTATGGAGGAAATTATGGTACTCGCAGCCTTTAAAATTTGCTAATTGCCTCCATTCAAATTGCAGTTTCATTTCAACTGTAATTAATCTCATAGCCCTGCATCAAACTTCCACAAGAGCGCAGCTTGATGTCGAACTGTTTACTAATTTGGCTCCTTTCGCTACAAGATACTAACCAGGAAACAATTGGAGGCAACCTGCTGAGTCAGCCCTTGTTAATGTTTTGTTAGACTAGAGGCTGTTTAAGGCCAGCACCTGATCACACCGCACCCTTTTACCAGTTTTCTGCCTCATAAAACGCAGGCTGTATTGGTTTACAATCCGAGAGACCTGATTGAAAACAGACCAAGCACGTGGCATTAATCTTGTACATCCATAAAAGGATAACCGATTTATCTACACAATTAAGTTGTCAGGACGCAGCCCTCCGGCTAACGGCCAGTCAAAGTCCAAACAAGGCCATGCGGGTAAAAAAAATGCTGAGTCGTGAAATGTATTTACCTTGAAAACAAACATTTCTCCTCGGAGCATAGCGACTGTGTCAAAGTTGCCTTCGCAGATGTTTGGTCCGTAGTGGTCTGGCCGGTCTGTGGTCCTGGGCCGGTCAGGGTGGCGAGGGGGGTTCTGAGGAGGGTTCTGCGGCGGATTCTGAGGAGGTCTGGGGTCCGGACGGCGAGGTGTGACAGTGGGCAGTGCTTGTGTGGGACTGCTGTCGGGCTGACCTATACAGAAGCAGATTGTGTTCAATATGGATATTCATTATATTCAGTCTGATTTATACACAATTTGATACAATACACGATACATGGCTCACAATACAATAATATGGCGATATATTTTAAGAGCCAAACATATTTTAAAAGCAATATTTATTTATTAAATCACTACCTGTGCAAACTTAATTTGAAATCAACCCATTTCAAGCATCAAAACAGTGAATATGTCAAAAGTATTCCATGAACACATTTCCATTCAAGATACAAGCAACAAAACTTTAGCGCTGTCACAAAATCATTTAGTAAAATATAAGAAAACATACTCCTCTTGATAGAACAGCCACAAAAATACCAAATATAGTATTGCAATATATCGTTATTTAAATTTTTCAATATTTTAGTAATCTAGTATTGTCCTGAATTTGAGGTTTGAGTGTTCAGAAAATCTCTGGTTTCACAATGCAATTATTCATAAAATTCAAGCATTTTTCAACAATAAAAATAGGACATCTTGCAACTGTGAAATGGCACTATGGAGAGACAGGGCCTATCAGTTCCCTAATTTTTATCAAGAACTGAATGGACATGTTTCTATTATTGAATAGTTTTAGATCAATATTACCTTTTACAATGAATAAAATGGACAATAATGATCTATGTATTATTTAACACAAAATACTCGAAAGAATGGTTAAAAGGTTCTATAAGCGAAAGAATAAATGTACCATAAATCTGTTGGATTCCCCGTCGGTCATCTTCAGGGAGTTGGAAATTTTCAGTCTCCATCCACTGGTAGAAAGGAGCCATGATGGCCAGGGGGTTGTTGGAGTGCTCCAACCCCAAAGCGTGACCCAGCTCATGGACTGCTACGAGGAAGAGGTCATTGCCTACAATCATAAAAAAAAAAAAAGACAAAAGCTAATTTAATGCATACAATTAAATTATCACAAGATCTGTATTACAACAAATAATCAAAAAACACAACACATAATTTTATCATTTGTTTATTTTGTATAAGGTCAAGGTATAAACAACTATTAAAATTGACTTCCGTTCAACTTGAAAAGGAAAGGTCCCCCAACTGATGTACTCATTTCTTTGTAAATTCACTGTACTGTTAAATGTCTGTATTGATTATTTTGATGAAAAATCCAGTCAAACTATTAAAGTAAATTAAATGCACGGAGCATTTATGGGAGTCAAACCTGGGTGGAATTATAAAAGCTTATGGAAAACCCAAATATCACTTTGTTACATTAAAAAGATTAGACATTTTTATTGATAACTATCCATAACTATTCATAATTCTCATTCAAAAAGACCGTACATAACCACAAACCACTGGAACACATAACTAGTCTATAATTATTTGATTAATTGGTCGATGTTGTCTTAATCAACCAAAATTTGCATTAGAATACACATTTAATTTATATTATAAGAATGCATATGGGATAACAGCAGAAGGGAGAAGTTAGTGAGTGAGCTATTTGAAGATTTGGCATTTGGTAAGTTTAATCTGTCTTTAAATAAATATATTGCTTCCTGGTACTTAGTGAACAACAGCCCTACTTGGAAGACCATTTTAAACAACTCAAGATATGAATCAGCACACTTCTTTAACCAGTGAAAGAATGCGCTTGTCCCATGTCTCTGCAGCAGTCTAACACATGAGGCACACTGACCACTACTTGAGCCTGTGTCCACCACTCATGGACGCTTTATCACAAATGGCTCGCTTCTAAGGCTGTTATCGGTCAAGTCAACCCCACTCACAGCTGGCGACTTCCCCTTAGTCAAGACTCCTTTGTAGCTGGCCCATGCACTGGTTAATCTCTGAACCCTGCGATGCCCTGTGCTGATTGGTCAATTTTTTGGCAGTGACATCATCATCCTCTCACTGTGGGCTTGGTATTTGGGAATGTCCTTGCAGTGAATAAGCATCACACATGCAAAAACAGACAGCAGCACAGTTCCTCTCCCTCCCATCTTTCATTTGAGTCACATGAATGTCCTCATGCTATGCTAAGCTGCAACAAACACTTGAGAGGGTGAAGTCAAGGGGAGCGAGATAGAGCTGACAAATAAAGAGGCTTCTGTGAAGCCGCCGTGACAACCTTTCAGCTCGACAAAAAGAACGTAAAGTAAACCACGCAACCAGCAAACTTCTGTAATGTTTTTGTTTACGTCTCTTTTTAACAGCTTCTTTCAGTAGTGTATAAGAAAAAGTACCTATTATTGGAAGCCTTGGGAGGATGGTTTGGTCAGAGTGGTAGATTAATCACACTTTGCATCACAAGATTTTCAAGCAATTATTACTTCTCTAACACATGACAGTGAGATCAGGCAGTGTTTTCTCAACGGTTTCCTTCCTCACTTACATTACAGTTTCCCAGCTTTATAATATCTGTCTTACTTTAATAATGCTTTAACAAACAGTTAAGGCTTTTTAACTACTTAATTAAAGTAGTTACTGAGCCTGAATTAGCACTTGTCCAATTGAGGTATTGCCTGAATAATAAACATATTGTTCATTATGAATTATGTGTTTGTTCATGCTTTATTAAAGGTGCTGTACCTGAGTTTTATTGTTTTAAAACATGAAAAACAGAAGTAGCTCATTTTAAATGATTTCCTGTGGTTCAAACTAAAGTTATTCCTCCCTTATTTTATGCAATCTCAGCATCCTGATTATTGACCACGATGAGTTTATAAGCGCTTTTCACAACTTTCAGAGACAGTGCGAATTTTACCGTCAAGCTGGGAACAACTAGCCTGCTAACATGAAGGATAATAAACATCTTTGTAATTGTAATGCAGACACCAAAAAATTTGGCCTAGATCCTATAAGGCAAATTAAAGTGTACTTAACTTAACTCAAAGTCACTGCTACTACTAACTAAACTACTACTGCTTAAATTAAAAGCCAATAATTAAACACAAATCTTCTGTGAGAATAACACAAAAACGTCCAAGCTGTAGCAGAACTCTAGTCACTTAGCGAAGAGGGCGTTTTCAGACTGTTACACTGACTGGGCAAGTCTGGGTACAGTTCGGAGATAGTAATTTGGTTGCACTTTGCCTCTGGGCAGATCAAATGCTGTCGGGCAACAAAAGCCCCAGTCTCCAGGAGCGGTGGAGTGGAACACAGTCCCACTTACAGGGCATTCCACTGTCCCTGTGAAGTGTCCTGCAACACATCCTCCACTGGGCTGATCACACACACAACACAGCTGTCTGAGGGCCGCTCCATCTATGCAGATTACAGAGCAGGAAGGAGCATTGTTGTAAAAATCCCCTCTGGTCAGCAGGGTTACTCAGTGCAAACCAAGACTCCACTGAGGCCACTTAAAAATAATGCTCTTATTTTTACATCCAATTAAAACTAAATGTAGACTCATCTGTAGTGTTCAATGTGTCTTTTTGACTCCAAATAGAGGAGATGATGGTGTATCTCAAGGGATCTAAAATAAATAAAGAATATAATATAATAATGGGATGACTATCAAAAAGCTACAGAAAACTTTCAGTGTAATCAGGTATGAATTTTGTGTTAAATTTTACAGTCAATTCAAATTGCTCTGATACTTCAATCGCTGCATTTATAGGCATACTGTAGCACATTTCTGTAAGCTTCCAAAAATATATTTTTCAATATTGCCCGCTCCTGCATTATCTAAAATAATCAAAGTTTCCATAGAAAGAAATATTCCAGTACAAAATATGTGACAAATAGCACAGATGTGACAAATAGTTGCATTTCAGCGTAAGGAAGTCAAAGTGAGTTGAGCTGTCTATGAACTGCAATAAATAACTATGGGTTGCAAGACTAATCGAAATGGAATCTGAATCACAATATCAATGAACACAATTAGCAAATCACAAGGGCTGCAGTTTTAAAGTACCGCAATTTCCTCCAAAAACAACTAAATATCTTGTCTTATTCTGCAGAATGTGTTCTGACACGTTCTTGTAATAGTTTTTGAGTTCGTATAAATTTTTTTTTTTTGTCAGTTCTTCTGGACATGTTGAAAATGTGAACTTGAACAGAAACTTATCAAAACATAAATGGCAAATCTTATCACGATTCCTGTCAGAAAAATAACAACCTCCTTATGAAAACTCATTATGTGATTCCTAAAGTTGTGTCAGTCAAAATTCACACAGCAGTAGCACTATAAATACCTCCCAATATACAATCCTGCTCTCACCTTGTAAATTTTGGTTTCCTATTGTCCAGGGTTCGTCGGAGTCAAAGTGAGTGTCTCCCCCCATTCCGGGACCAGGGAAATAAGCATGTGCCAAGAAGCCTCCCTCTCCATCAAAAGGAGAGCTGTCGCCGTGGAAACCAGAAGCAAAGAAGATCATGATGTCAGGTTCCTTTCGACGGCCATATTTGATCTCCTGGTAGGGGATTTCGTCAAAGGTTAGAGGCGTGACCTTCTCCCAGACTTTAAAAGCTCGCCGGATAGCCTCAAATGAGTTGTATTCCCCAATTTTCGGAGTGTAGTTCTGAATGCTATATCGTAACAAAAAATACATTGAAGATATGAACAATGTGAATTCAGCAGCCTTCCCCTGGGTAAAGTTATTTGAAATCTACCTGTATGTGAGGTGATTTTTATTCCATTTATGTCCAGTGAGGGCATAGCGTTTCCGCCGCACGTTGGTTTTTATCTGGCCTCCAAATTTGTCAGGCACACCACATCGAGGTCTTCTCATTGCCCTAAAGGAATTACAAAAGTCAAAAACAGGAAGCAAAGAGCGTGGTAAGGAATAAATTACCCAAGAGATAGTATGTTTTTTTTTTTGGTTGCTAAGCTCAAGATGTAATTTAATAAGAAGAAAATGACACAGACAGCCCCAGCAAGAGTGGTGAAACTCGAATAGTGGATTTTGCTTTTAGATATTAAAAAAAATAATACATTTACTAGTACTAAATATTGCAATAAACGTTGAGATGATTGATCGTTCTGACATTTATCTCATGTCAGGGAAATTTTTTTTCAGACATCTGGTGCATGTTCTCCTCCATTTGCCACTGCAATTTCAAGTAGTTAGTGACATCATGCACTACTTTCCTGATTAAAGCTAGGTGTTTCTGATTACAAACCCCTAGCTGCAGAGGAGGAGTTTGAAGTGTGAATACCTGTTAGACCAACTCCCCCAATTATTCTCTTCTTTAGTCTTCTAGACACAGCCAAGTTTAGCAACTCTATTTGAAATGAAGTTGTGGGTGGAGTTTATGTGTTTAATCCACTTTAAAAAAGAGGTTTATTTGGTTTAAATAAATGAAAACCCTTACATATACACTACAGTACTGTATACGATGTCAAATTGCTATTGCATAAATCCTGTAATGTAGTTGTGCTTACTCTATTGTTTGGGCATCCATTTGGCCAGTCACCTCCAGGCCGTAGAATCTCTGCATGTCACTGACGGCACTGGAGAGGATTTGAGCTGATCTCATAGTGGACATCTGCCTGCTGGCCTGGGGCAGGTAACCGTACATCCTCAGCCATGCCTGTGGACAATCAGGTCATACAAATTGCATTAAACACTGCAGACAGGACTGAAAACACCAGAATCAATCATAGTATGAAATTTATTTAATTGATATTTAAATAAAATATTGTAAAATGAGCAAAATGTTACCATGTCAAATACATTTCTGTCAATTCACCAGATTTAAATAATCTTTTTTTTCCCTACGGGTCTTCATTAATCCCATTTGAAATCATGTTTTATCTTTGTTTAAAACCTTTTAGCATTATCATCTGATCATCTGATAATGTAGTATCGTAACCGTGGCCTGCTACATCTA